TTGACCGTATTTTTGGAAGTGATACAGAAAAATAAATTGTCAAATCATATCATATTTGTAAAATGCAAATCAAACATAATTTAGTTAAAAAATTTTAATTTACTTACTTGGTTTAATTAATAGTAACGTTTTGAATTATTTCACTTTTTTCCCCCAGTTAATTTCCTGACCACAACCCAGTCCAGTTGGTGGCAGTAATGTATCGCTGTAACTGGTCTGCCAATAGCCATTGAACACAAGAAGAAGAAAATTTTTTGGCGCTTTAATCCACTTGCTAGAGTAGCGGTCGCTGCATGTTTGGTTGAACGCCATATTTGGAGATCGCTGCAATTATTTACTTTTTTCTAAATTGTTTATTTTTCCCAGATGACGCTATTGAGGGGATTTGTTTTGTTTTTCGGTGGCTCTTTTACGTAGTGCAGCGTTTTGTTTGGCTGCTGGACTTGCTGAAATATCTGAGAAAAAAAAATTGTGTCAGGGATTAGCATCAGATCGAGGATGGACATAAAGAGGAATCACTACAGTGAGNTTCCTCTGCTTTCTCCCAGTGCTAAAAACAACCAGGAGAGTTTAATGCTGTCAATCACAATCTCATGTGGTGCTGCTCATCCTTCCTCCCCCTTGACTTGTGCCGTGCTGCAGCTAGCAGAGCACAGAGCTGTGCAGATTCAAACTGTGAATCTTCAATTTAGTTAGCATAGCTACCAATGACGGCAGATAAACAGTTTCTTGTAATGATAAGTTGTTTCTCCACCTTTAGTGCATTTAGCAGTGAGTGAATGAGGCTAATTGACAGTGCTAAAAGTGTCCTACTAGTTCTGATTGGTTGTCTTGGTCAGAACAGTGCATTACTTTAACCAGTAATTCAGGAAGGAGATGGAGGAGATTGATTGTTTTCACAGATTATCTGTCTCATAACAAACTGCTACGACACTGTGACAGCTTTAACAAATATGGAGAAAACATATTTTTTTATTAAAGATATATACTGCAGCTTGAATAAAATGCAACTATTAGCATTTTTGAGAAGTCTGGATTACTTTATGTGTATTTGCACGTTGCTTTTGACTGTTGCTCATGGAGAGATATTTCAGTATCTAAAATTAATAGAAAAAAATTTAAGCAACCTACTTGCATACTGGATGTGGACTGTTGGATGTTAAATTCATGAGAAGTAAATATTGTGCTAATTATCAGTATTGAACCAAAGAAAGCAAGGCAGTTGTAAGCCTTTAAAATTGTGACGCTTTTAATGGGTCAAATAGACTCAAAAAATTGTAACAGCAGCTGTGCGGGGGGCCCAAACTAATTTTTTGTCAGGGGGCTCACAATTCCTGGCGACGCCCCTGCGGGTCGCACTTATTAAAAAAACTACCCATTCCAGTCTTGTGGCTCACTCGGTTATCTGCCTGCCAAAACTCCCACAGACTGCAGTTGCAATAGGGAAAATACAATATTTAGTGATCAAGACAAAATTTTATTAGCAAACTCAGTGGCTGTCATTTAATTTCTCTTTGGGATAAATGACGTATTTTTTTTAATTTGAAACTAAATATTTAGTTTGAACCTGTGACAGTTATAAATGATTGAATAACATGAAAACATGACTTTGAAAAATGTGCTCCCATTTTTTATTCTTACGACAGGCTAAATAACTCCAATTATTGCTGTTCATTTTTAACTATTTAACTTTAGAAATGGCACCAAATAAAACCAAGACTACAGAAAACAAAAGAAGCCTGATAATAGTCTCAGAAGAATAAGTTCAAGTATACAAAACCAAGAACACAAAAATAAACAGAAATGAAATAAAGGAATAAACTATCTATGTTGTTAAGTTATCAGCTTAACAACAGAGAACTTAACTGAGTAAGATAAGATGTACAGAACATAACTGCAAACACTCAAGGATTGTGATTTGTATATTTCGTGAAATGAAAAACAACTCTTTTTTTGGACAGGAATATAAAGTGCTTTAATTAAATAAGCAATCATACATGACCATGTCTCACCAGGGCACTAAAGTACAGAATCCATCTCAATAAATAGAACAATATATGCTATGCAAATTAAGAAGTGGACTTTTACTTAACTGAGATTTCTCAAATCTTTAATCTAATTGTAAAAATACAAAAGAAGTGAATTTGATGCTCCATGGCTTACAATCATTTAAGTCCCACTTCTTGAAAATTGCAATAGATACAGTAAACAGGACAAACTTAATTCCACAATAAACAATTTTTCAACAACTTTTAATTCGTGGAACTTAATTTGTTGTGAACAATCTAAAAATGATTATATTAAAGCTACTTTTGGCATTAGAAAAATCTTAGATGAGGTTCTGATTGCAAAGGTTCTTTAAGCTGCAGTAGGTAACTTATATAAATGTTTTGCTCAGGTTAGAAGCAAATCAATCGGCAGACAAATGCCATTACCATCCTTATTCATAGTCAGATTACCCATCAAAATACGGAGTCTTATGAAAATGCTGACCAAAACGTGAGTTATCAGCAAACAAATTTTCATCTGCAAAATAGATGGCGTAACAGAACAGGCCTGATGGTCTGATCTCTTAGACCATAAATTAAAGAAGTCAAACATCTGGGTAAGATGATAAAAAGCACATAAAAAATATTCTGTACCCATACGTATACTATTCTTTCTGCAATCTTTGCAAGAGCTAAGAGTAGTGGGTAGTAAAAGGTATAAGACAGACTGAGGACCAGCTGAACTAGGTGCAGCAGAAGTGTCTTACGAGCTTTCAGGGCAGATGCTTTATCTGTAGAAGCTGACTTTGCTGCTATTACAACTCCAGTATACGAGGAAATTACAGTCAAACCGGCTGAAACAAATACCACAGCGTTGTATGCTCTGTCATAATCATCACACAGCGAATTTGGAATCCAGCCAACGTCAGTGCAATAATCTTCCATCAAGACTTTCCCGAACTTTTCATATGAATATTCTATCAAAAACAGATTTCTAGTGACATTATTTAGTGAACTGACAGTCCAAGCTGCAATAATGGCCACTACTGTGTTTTTGATGGTGATAATGGAAGCGTGCCTCAGT